AAAAAAAAAATTTTTTAAAAAAATTAATTTTTTTTTTTTGAAAAAAAAAAAAAAAAAAAAAAAAAAAAAAAAAAAAAAAAAAAAAAAAAAGAAGCGAAAATGGAGGAAATGATGGAAAGGCCGATTAGTGGATACGAGTGATAAGAAAATGAGCCAGTCATGATCACCCATCCACCCCTTGATTTTCATTCTTCGATACGTGTAAGGAATGAATTTTTTTTTCTTTTCTTTTTCATACCCACAAGACAAATCCACGCGATTAATTTACGTTATTATTCTAATCTGCGATTCTACGTTGACCACTAACATTTTAGCAGTCATTCCTCCGATTCTAGAAATCGGTCGTTAACGTTTTTCATCATTCGGTCAAGTCGAGTTCGGTAATTCGACATAAAAAAATAGTTTGATCATATCATTGGAATTTTGTCTTGTCGACATGATCTTACGAGGCTACGTAAAATTCATCCAGACCTCGTCTAAAACAAGCAATCGGATTCAATCCAAGTCGAACGATTCGAAACTTAAATATAAACTCGGGATTCGAAGACGAGGTTCTTTTTTGCTGCATCCGTTCTTCTCCTTGTGCTTTTGGATATTTCTTTTCTATTCGTCCAGAAGGAGAGCTTACGATGTTCGATCGATTCATCGTGTCATGACTTTTTCAAATTTCTAAATAACGAACGCGACACCACGGACGTACTGTCGTTGCGTAAAGTCTTTGACGAATCGACGATGACGAAGGATATTGCAGGAACATAGAGGCTGTATTAGCTTCCCTCTGTTAAAATTACCAGCTATCAAAATTCTGGACTCTTCATCCAGTTCATTTCGTTTTCTATTTCTCGTTTCTGCTTTTCTTCAACGCAGAACATCGCATTGCTTCTCGAAGCTAACGATAAAATTAAGTACCTTACAATGACGCCGATGACGAGTTAATCTTGCATCAGTAACGACGTATCTCCGTGTAGAAATTTCTGAACCCTTGAGAATCGTTTAAAACTTACAAATTCTTCGCAGAATACGTATACAAATATGTATCCTAACTCGCTTTCTACGTCGTTTCTAAAAACTTAAACACTACGCAGACAAAAGAACAAAGCTAACAACAGTACATGGTTTCCCTTTCATATTTTCCATCGTAAAATCATTTTACATTTGTCGTTATTCAATGTAACAAAATATGGTTACTGACTCAAGATTAATTCTTCTACAATCACGTGATCTATCCGTCACATGATCGCCACGCCGACGATCGTAAATGATTTTTTTTTTCCTCAGTGTTTTCCAATTTTCTTCTTTCCTCTTCTCATCGTTTAATATATTCACACGTACAATTTGTTTCTCTCTCCTTCTATCTGTTAATACAGGTATCGAACACGGCTGATAGAATCATGGTTAAAAAAATCTGAACTGCAAGTACCTGCTCGGTACAAAGAGGATAGCCGAGAAAGAAAAAAAGAAAAAGAAAATAGGAATGATCGCGTGCACGCTAGTGAAGTGTTTCTCACCTGATGAACAAAATTTCGTTTTGTTTCCCTGCTTACGATCACGATTTTCTTTCACATCGAGAATCCCTCTTCATCGTTAAGCTTTTCTCGTCGTCAACGCTTATCACTATCATCATACACACGTTTAAAAAGCGACTTCTAATCCAATCCTATGTACGATACAACGTTATCACAAAGTCATTAAAAAATGCTACTTATGTATCGTTTTTTTTTTTTTCGTTTTTCTCTAAACTCGTTTTGTCTCCTTTGTTCCAGTTCTGTCTTTTTATTTTTATTTTTTTTTTTGTTTTTTTATGTTTTTTGTTTTTGGTTCCTTTTTTTGGTAATCTTTACACCATTATATTTATCTTTAATTTACAACGGTAAAGCCGGGACCATTCTGACCATTTCGCTCGGTCCGCGTATCCTCTTTTATTTTTTATTTTTATTTTTATTTTTTTTTCGTTCACTCGTTCTAGAACATCTCTCTGGCATTCATCTCGTTCTATTATTCTTCCCCCCCCCCCCCTCAATGGTTTTCCCATTTCCTACACGCAGGTCCCTCTTCCCCCCTCTATTATTTATTCAGTTAGAGCTGGCACTATAGCCACTATAGTGCGCGTTTTTTTTTTTTTCCTTTCTTCTTTTTATCTACATATAAACAGGCGCTTCGCGACGCTGACAGCGATCTCGATAGCGAGCCGATAAAAATCGATTCTCAGTCGATGAATAAAGAAGTCGCTGGGCGCGCTAGTATTATACATACAATAAAGGTACCGCTGATTCTGTCCCGCTGGACGAACACACTTTCGTCCCTTTCACCTTCGTTTCCTTTTCTTTCCCTTCCACTCTTTTAAACGGCTAGTTTAGTGTGATTGTTCGCGAAATATTTCTTACGCTAGAGGTCCACAAAAAAAAAAAAAAAAAAAGAATTCGTTGCGATCTAAAATTGATCCATTTCCTGTTTCTCGTCGTCGTCACTCGTTTATCTTGAATCGCTGGTAAATTGAAAGCGATTGAAAGATCGTGGTAACTACGTTTATACCCCTATGGTTTCTCTTATCAGTTTTAGATCGCACGGCTCGCGTACGCATACTTTTCATGTACATACACATCATGCACAGATATACACACACAGGTATGTTATGTAATATATATATATATACACACATATATATTACACACACATACAGAGAAACAGAGAGATAAGGTGGCTCGTGTGTTACATGTCAGAGTTGCGTTGCCACGTACAATGCCACGGACGATGACACACAGTGTATATCATACAGAATAAAGAGCAGCGAAGCGGCTTTTCCATTGCGGGAACATATTGACAAAAGATACGACCGATTTCTGAAAACGGAATGATCGAAGACGATTCAGGAATAAACAAATCTAACAGATCATAAATTGATCCGATTACGCCGTCAGTTGGTTCACTCGAATTCGGGTTAAGTTTTCCATTGAAATTCAAATCTCTACTTAACTTTGCCGCAAAATTTTGTAAAATGACGTGTGACTGTCGGATTCGATTTCAATCTAACGCGTCTGTTAAATGCTTACGACTTCGGCTCGATAACCCCGTGGTGGAAAGTACACTGGGACGATCTTTGTTCGTTTATAAATCTTCCGGTTTTGCCCGGTGTCCCAATTATTGCAGCAACGGCTCCAAAAGGATCCAAGATACAATTGGAGCCGATCGATACGACATTCACGAGATCCTGCTGACATTTATGACAAATAATTACGAAGTGATATTGTCGTGAGAGAAATCGGATTAAATATATATATATATGTACACACAATACGGAGAAACAAAGAGAGAAGGTAGCGGTGCGTTTTACAGCTCAGTCCAAGGAACACATAGAGACATACACAAAAGTGCTCGATCGGCGATGCTCCGCGTGTTTCCGCTTCGCTACTCTTTACTACATACACGGTGAGTTTCAGTCCAACTCTGAACGATGAGATATACAAACACACACACACACACATATACATATATATATATATAGTCGTTTCCCTAGTCTCTCTATTTCTCTCTCGAATATTTTCGAAACGCGAGATCGAGAGCGTTTTTATCATTCCCACGACGATTCCTCGTTTCCGTTTCCATTGCCGTTCCGGCGATAATTTCTCACCGAGTTGCTCCACAGGAGTTTTTTTTAAAAGGCTGGCCTGGACGATCATCATCAAGGAGACGACGACTCTTCTCATTCTTTCTCTCTCTCTCTCTCTCTCTTTCTCTCTCTTATTAATCGGTTTCACTAACATACGTAATAAGTATATCACGAGCCACAATGTGACGCGCCCACAAATTGACAATCAACGGCGCTTGTTGTCACTTGTATCCCCCTTACGGGTTAAACGTCGTTACGGACCAAGCACGGCGACCCCCGTAGGTGGAAAACGGTGCACGCGCAAAGTGGATGGATTCGTTCGAGGAGGTGTTGCTGTTCTCTGGCTCTTCTCTTCGAGCACGGTCGTGTAAAAGGAGGGGGAGAGAAAAGTAATAGGAAGCATCGTGTGTGTGTGTATGGTAATATACATATGTATGTATAGTGTACGTCGTAGTGTATGTCCGGGGGGGAGCAGATTGGGGAAAGCCGTTTCTTGCGAGAGGAGCAAATGGGTGGTGGGCACAGGTGTGTACAGGTACCGAGACAGACACAGAATGACTGATCAAGAGGCTGACCAAGGAGTCGTGACTGATCGACTGATTGACTAATCGATTGGCCGATCGATCGAACGATTGACCGATTCGACTGACTGAGACTGACATGGCACGGCGACTCCGATCGAGAACACGGTCACAACGTCACAGGCCACCTGCTGGCACACAAACAAACACACGGACAGGTTAGTCACCACCACACACCAGATATGTAGGATATTACCCCGGATAAACGTGCACGGTGACGAACTGACACGACATTTCCATTCCATTCGAACATTTACAATTTCTCTTTAGAATCAGCGAGAAAACTTCCCCTTTGACCACAGTCACCTGACAACAACGTTGCTGAAGAGAGGCATTCAACGTGAAAGTGGATAGATCAGACGTTGGAGTGACGAGCACGGAATTGGCCAAAATTTGTAGAGAACGACGTCACCGTGCAACGTGTACGCAGGTAGTATGTCGGTACACGGTTCCTACACGCAGGAGCGACAAGGATCTTTATTACTTGATTAATTTTAACGTTATATCGTTTAGTCAGTCTTACTAGTCATCTGATTCTTGTTGCTACTTTCGCGCCATGTGGTGGTTCATCTTTGGCGTCTATCGTTCTTCGCGGTGGATGTTGGCGTGTGAAATAAAGTGGACAAAAACACTCGCGGCAACGATTGGAGAAAATCGAGGAACCACCACTGGCAATTAACGGTACCCGATGTCCGACGACATCCCAGAAAAAAAAAAAAAAGAAGAACACACGGCAATGTTAGTACTAACAACTAAAGAAGCGTCATAGCGTAAATTAACCATCAAACTTCGAGATATTATTGTCACGATAGAACGTTCCAAGTTCTGTGTGCCCTGCACAATTTAAAAAAAAGGGGGGAGAAAAAAAAAAGAAGAGAGAAGACAACAACAACGACGAGGGACCGACCATTCGCGATTGCAATTATATTGTAAAATATATAGTGGCGTAATCAGATAATTAAATGAAATTAGTGAGGTAGAGATCGTTGCGGTTGTTTCGTTGGTATCTTGCGTTGCCAAGAATAACGAGCAAATAATTATCGACGAAGTTAACTGAAGAGATATGTTTCTGTGTGCGTCTTGCCGTTGTTTCTCGCGTGTGTAGTACGCGTTAGATGACGAAGTATATAAATATATATAACGTGTAAATATAAAACGATTAAAAAAAGGAACGATAGAAGCAGACCTTTAAAAAAAAAAAAAGAGTAAAACAAACAAGTAAAAAAATAAGACCAACAACAACAACAACAAAAGTAAGTTTAGTTAAACGTACGGAACTTGAACGTTGCGTGAGAGAGAGAAAAAGAAAAAAAAAAAAAAAAGAAAAACTTAAAAAGCGAACTACTTTGTATCTCTCATATCCTGAAGGAGAAGCTACAATGGTGAATTTTGGTTAGTGAAACTTCCACGTTTACGTAATTTCCACTTTGTGCACAAAAGTTAGCACAGAAAAGCTTGATTGGCAGCCGTTTGCAACGAAATGAACTTTTGATTACACCACTGGCGCGAAAAAGAAAAGGAGGCTGGTAGGGCGATAAAGGGCTCGAAGGGCAAGCTTTGCACCTCCGTAGGACGAGCAATGATATATTTAAGTAAGAATATTTAAATCTCGTTTTGATGCGGTGCGTATTCTGACGATATACGTTCTTGAAACAGGAAGAAATACGCGATCTCGAGAAGTCTTATTGATGCAAAA